AGTTATTTAATGTAAATCTCTGTAGTTTTTGCATCCTTTTTCTTCAATATCATGATTAAAATAAAGTACAGTATATTTTAGTAAAACAGGACCACCACACTACCAAAAGAGATTTGAATGCTATTGCCTATGAATTAAAAAGAATTATTTATTAATGTGTTCGTCTTCTGTTTACTCACAACATTCTACTTCAACAATAATATTAAACAACAATAACGACAATAAATTAATAAAATTTACTTTAATAATACTAATTAGTCATTATGACGATAATAAAGGTGATAACAACGACAACAACATTAATAGTAATATTTATTTTAACAATACTAATAGTAATAATACTAGTATGGTAATAATAACGATATTATTTAAATATCAATTTTAATAACTAATTAGTGATAATAACGATATTGAAGGTGATAATAGCAATAATACAACAATAATAAATTAAAGATAATGTTTATTTTTATAATAATAGTAATACTAATTAGTAATAATAATAATGATACTTAAATACTAGGCCTACTTAGTAATAATAGGGTGATAATATCGATAATAAAGGTGACAACAACAACAATAATAATATTAATAATAATGATAATAATATGAGAAAAATACCAATAAAACACCAATAACAATAACTTTTTAAATTACTATTATTAAAATAATAATACTAAGACTAACAAATAATAATAATAATAATAATAATTATAATAATAATAAATCGAAAATTATTTATTATTTATATGGTACTGTAATAATATCAGCAACAATTTGAACAATACCGTATATAATGTTAATGCTAAGACTAATAATTAATATTAAAACTCACGGAAATAAAAACAACAATAACAAAAATGACAACAATAATAACAGCAATAATAATAACAATAAGTATAGTAATACTTAAAGAATTAGTATTTTATACTTGATGAATTACTCCTTCAAATTGTAGTACCAGTAAATGACTTGTGGCCGAGTTGACCTGTGGCCGAGTTGATTTGTGGCCGAGTTGACTTATGGCCGAGTTGGCTTGTGGCCGAGTTGACTGTAGCCAAACTTTTTGTGGCCGAGTTGACTTGTGGCCGAGTTGACTTGTGGCCGAGTTAACTTGTGGCCGAGTTGACTGTGGCCGAGTTGACCTGTGGCCGAGTTGGATACTTATTGACGTTTGTTAACGTCATCCAAGTTACGCTCACCTACCCATCAACATGGGAACACACCATGTCTTCAATCGAGGTGCCAGATATGTTCGATAATAACTACGGATAAGATATTCCATGTAGGGCCTACCTGGGACAAATTGTAAAATCCGCCCTCCCCCCACCCCCCTAATCTTGATTGTAATATATCGAATACTGTGTACATGATATATTGTAACAAATGCAATCTAGGCAATTATATTGGTGAGACTAGTACTAAACTTAGACTAAGATTAAATAATCGCAAGAAATCTGTTAGAGCATAGAGAAAATAGTTTCTCTATGGTTAGAGAAAAGGAAAAGGAGCAAAAGGTTTCCTGTTAAAGCGATCGCTTTAACTCACAGGGACACTCCATAGATGATCTACGTTTTATTATATTAGGCTGTAACTACAAAGCTATTAGAGATAGACGTTGCTCCGAATTACGTTGGATCATGCGAATCATAAGGTCAAAATCTTAAAATAATTAATTTTGCCCAAATAAAACTGATTTTGAGATGATAATGCTCATAACTTTTTAATGCCTATTCAGAGCTTGATTGCCAGAATCAGAAAGTACGGGCAAAACTGAGCCAGAGTAGCAATTTTCAGCTTTCTAGTATGTCCAGAAATGAAAATATTGCCTTTCAAAGACCCTAACAAAATATCGCTGCCCTCGTGCGTCTGAAAAAGGGGTGTGTCTTCAAAAATTAAAAGTGCCATAACTTCGGAATGCTTGGGAATTTTTCAATGAAGCTTTGGGATTTTTCATAATACCCCTCAAAGTATATTTTGTTATAAAATTTCAGCAAAATCTAAGACGGTCACCGTGGAGCCCCTGGTTGAGTTGGCATGGAATGACTCCAAATCACATATCAACGGACTCAATAAAGATCTAGGCTTTGCTAGTGTTTATACATTCACTAAAGAATTAATGCCTTATCACATTAGTCGTCTCCGATTATGTAAGATAAACTGTGTATGCATTGTTTCACCCAGTAATTATTTTCTACTGTTGTCTTATTCACGTTGGGAAAGTCCTGAGGACAGGACGAAATATTCGTGCCTAATAA